GCGAGCGGGCGGGCGGGCTGCGAAGTGGGCGGGCCGCGAAGCGGGCAGCGAGCGAGCGGGCTGCGAAGCGGGCGGGCCGCGAAGCGGGCAGCGAGCGAGCGGGCCGCGAAGCGGGCAGCGAGCGGGCGGGCGGGCTGCGTAGCGAGCGGGCCGCGAAGCGGGCAGCGAGCGGGCGGGCGGGCTGCGAGCGGGCGGCTCGGCGAGGGGCGCGCGAGGGCGCTAGTGAGGGGCGCGCGAGGGCGCTAGCAAGGGGCGCGCGAGGGCGCTAACGAAGGGGCGCGCGAGGGCGCTAACGAAGGGGCGCGCGAGGGCGCTAACGAGGGTGCGCGCGAGGGCGCTAACGAGGGGCGCGCGAGGGCGCTAACGAGGGCGCACGAGGGCGCTACGAGGCTAGGGCACGGGGTAGCGTGGTAACCGCATGCGAGCGGTGGTGGGCCCTTAAAAAAACGGTCGGTAGGTCCTAGGGACCTCCTGCTCTGATACCATGTCAGAATCACTAGGCAAGAATGGTGCATTGAATGAAACAGTTGGTACAAGTAGCAAACCCTAGTTGGGGTTGTACCCCACATTGGCTACCCCACTACAGCCTACCAACATATAACACATTACAATTTAACATCAACAACAGCATACATAGCATGGGGACTACCAATCAGATCAACTAACTGCTCAGCAGACATGCCCCACAGAGCGGAGCCGTAACGCTGAACAAGAGGCAGCCAGTCAGGGGCAGGAGCACCAACCCCGTAGACCAAACGAACCGTGTCAGTGAGCTGAGCAAAGCACTGACCAGGGGGGTGAAACCGGCCACAAGGGTGGCCACGACGAGTGCCTGTCAGAACCTGGTAGGTGCAGGGAGTGTAAGCAGCACCGCGCTGGGTCTGACGCAGCCCCGACCCTGGAGCCAGCTGCTGCCGCTGCTGCTGCTGAGGCTGCTGGGAGGAGAGGGGCTGCTGGTGCTGCAGAAGCTGCTGCTGACGCTGAGCCTGGTACCACGCCGCTGCTCCACCAACCGGGGCAGGAAGTACAGGAGGCGACTGACGAACTCGGGCGTCGCCACCACCAGCAGGCGCAGTGGAGTCACCAGTCACTGCACGAGGCGCCTCTCCAGGCCCTGAACCTCCACCGCCGCCAGGCGCAACGCCACCTCCACTACCTCCGCCTCCACCTCCACTACCACCACCAGAACCGCCTTTCTTGCCACTCCTACCGCGGGACCGCGACGCAGTCGTAACAGCAGCTGCAGTCGCGTCAGTAGCGGCAGTGGCAAGTGAGGCAGTAAAGGTGGGTAACTGCGGGACTGTGCACCCGTGGAAGAGTGGGGGGGGCACAGCACCAGAGGCAGCGGCTACCGAGCGAAGGTTGCTCTCGACGTCCTTGAGTGCAGACTCAAGGACCTCGACGGTGAGCTCACTAGGGTGCTTCAGCAGAAGCGCGTCGCGAACGGAGGCAAGGCGGTCAGGGAGGCTAGTGGCGATGAAATAGATAGTAATCGCCATAGGGGGAGGAAGCAGTGCAAGCTGTGCCGCAGTGCAAGCAGCGCGGTAACTAGCGTCGAGCGAGCGGAGGTGAGCGATCAAGTCAGCAGAGCGCTCAAAAGACGCTAGGTCAGGAAACAGGAACGGGAGGAACAGGCGGCCAAGAGAGACAGCAGCGGGAGTAGAGTAGCGGGCCTTAATCGCAGTGAGGTACTCAGCAGCGGTGCGAACCTGAGTGAAGTGAACCTCCTCAGACTCAGGGAGGAGGCTGCTGAGCGCGATGCAGGCCGCAGCGTCACGCGACGTCCAAGCCGTCTGGTCAGCTCGCTGAGTGGCAAAGCGGGCTCTAGCGGCGTCGTCAGGGGCAGGTCCTAAAGGCGTAGGGTCGGGGGGCGCAGGTAGGGCACCAGTAGCGTGCGCCCAGAGGGTCTCGCCTGCCTGGACCTGACTCTCTAACAGACGGCGAGCACGAAGAAGCCAGACGGAAAAATCAAGAGGTCTACCGTCAGCGTCGAAACGAAGGACACGCTGAGTCGCCATAGTGAAAACGAACGCGAACGGAGAGGGAGGGGACAGCAGTAGGTGAGAGGCAAATTAGGGTTCGGCGGTACTCTGGGACAGGGGAGGAGCGGACGCCACAGCGGGCGTGACAGCGGGAGGTAACAGGGGACTAAGCAGCGGGGAACGGGAACGGGCGCAGCGGCGGGCGACGGCAGCGCGCTCGGCAGCAGGGGCCAGCAGCGCGCGCAGCGGGCGACGGCAGGGGGCGCAGCGGCGGGCGACGACGGCGGGGCCGCGGCGAGGCGCGCAGGGGGCGGGCGACGGCGGCAGGCGCGGCGGCGACGAGCGCGGTCGCGAGCGACAGTGGCGGGCGCTGCGGGGACGGGCGACGCGACGGGGGGAGAGGGCGGGAGCGACGGGACAGGGGGAGGGCGACGCGACGGGGGGAAAGGGGCGGGTGCGACGGGACAGGGGGAGGGCGACGCGACGGGGGGAAGGGGCGGGCGCAACGGGACAGGGGGAGGGCGACGCGACGGGGGGAAAGGGGGGGCGCGACGGGACAGGGGGAAGGCGACGCGACGGGGGGAAGGAGCGGACGCGACGCGACGGGGGGAGCGCGACGCGACAGGGGGAAAGGGACGGGCGCGACTCGAGGGGGGGGGAAGGCGACGCGACGGGGGGGCGGGCTACGCTACGAACGAGAGCGTGGGTCGTTGCTAGGCTCGGTAACAGCTGGAACGATACGAACGAGAGCGTGGCTCGGCGCTAGGCTCGGTAACAACGAGAAGGAGACGAACGAGAGCTAGGATCAGGCTCGGGTGGTACGAACGGAGAACGGCGGAACGGGATCCCACAGGATCCTAACCTAACTGATACCATGTCAGAATGAAGAATGGATGATGCATTGATGTTGGTTGGGGTACATATAGCTAACCCTAAGTTTTGTACCCCCTAAGACAAACCTCACTATAGGCTACAACATTTGACATGCTTGTGTTTTGTTACAATCTGAAGTGGGACTTAACGAAACAAGGATCGTTCAGGGTTGATCGCAGGTAGTGTTGCAGCGGAAGTAGTGAACTCAGGTCAGAGTGAATGTAAAATGACTGAGATGATAATAGCATGCATACATAGGGTTTATATAGAAATACAAAGGAATGCGAAACGACCTAGACTAGCCATGTACTCTAAGGGGTACATTCCCTTATTGCAGCGAAATTCAAACCGTGCGGCGCGGGAGTCAGTTTCAAACCTGTTCCCGCTCTTTTCATTTCAAATTTCTCTGCCTGCATCGGTCTTGATCAGGCGGTTGCTGTGTCGCTTCACTTCTTCTGACTCCTCGTCTTCGTACTCGGTAGAGTCGGCTCCTGCAGCGTACAGGAATGCCTTCTCATATTGTAACATTTTTTTACAATTCAGCATGTAAACAGGCATTGTGACCGCTTGCTTGTGCACAGACTGCGTGGTGATCTTGAGATCCACCCTGAGCTTTGCTTTGCTTTGTTCTCTTGCTCGACTAGTCTTGTGACCGTCCGTTGTGTTTGCTATCCCCCACTTTGCCTATGGGGGTGTGTCAAATTGCATTTGTGTGTCTTTAGACTATAGTGGGGCTTACTTTAAGGGGAACAACACTTTAGGTCAACCCTGCTTGTATCACCCTGCAATCATTCCTGCACATTATTTTTAACATGTACACTACACTTGCACATTACACAACTCAATACTAGTACGGTACCATAATCTAGCAAAAATACACACAAGTAGGTTTGCAATGGAGAACAAGAACCGAGTGCACCGAATGCCCCTTGTCATCCTCCCACGTGAGGCTCCCGTACTTAAAGTTCATGAACCTCCTCCTCACCACAACCTTCACCTTGAAACTGACCCGTTGCCCTGGCGCTATGGTATACTGTGATGGCACCACTCTCACTCTCACTGCCTTAGGGGCCTTGATCCTCACCCTGTAGGTCGATGTGGTGTCTGAAACGCTCTTCACAACCCGCCTAGCGGTGAGTTTATTAGCTAGGTTGACCAGCGAGATAGAAGGCCGATTCAGGTGCCTGGCTGGAACGGGTTTTAGTGGCACCTGCCCGAACGCCTCTCGGGCCATCACAATATTCTGCCCTGCAAGAAAGTTCCGGAAATCTTGCTCCCTGGCATCGTAGGTCAACCCAGGGTCAAGCGCCCTCGTGGGAAACACATGCCAGGGCGTTGCCGGCCTGCCGTTCACATTCCGAATCACCCTGTTGCTGTTGTCAGTTCTGCCAGCTGTCGTCATCATTGCAGACATGACCTGCGCGGGCGTCCAATCAGGATGCTGCTGGATGATCAGAGCAGCAACCCCGGCAACATGCGCCGCTGCAACCGCAGTTTCATTACTGTGAGCTGAAAACGATCCCGTCTCGCCAACAGTTGTCCCGGGCGCAGCAGCAAGGATGTCGACGCCCGGGGCAATGATGTCGGGCTTCAGGATGGTGTTGGAGGCGCGGGCCTTCTTCGGGCGGCAGAAGGTACAGCCTCGCACGGCGGGAGGGCCGGTGGAGGACCATTCGGGAACCACGGGGAGGGAGGTGGCTGCAGGGGAGACGGTGGCAGGGAGTCGGGTTCCTTGCTGTGCTGATGCTGCTAGGTCTGTGATGTTTACTGGAGATTCCGCTGCTGCTGCTGCTGTTGTTGTTGTAGACGTTGAAGTGAGGAAGTCCTGAGGCACGGTACTGCATGGTGGGGCAGGGAGGGTGTTGGCAAGCACGGAAGGGAGGGTGTTGGCAAGCAGGGAAGGGAAGGGTGTTGGCAAGCACGGCACTGGATAGAGGAGCAGGGAAGGCGTTGATGTACACGAGATGCGAGGAGATGGAAGACGAGGGAGGAGGTGCAAGAGGAGGGAGGAGAGATGGAAAAAGGCATGAACCAAGGAAGAAGGGATGAAAGGATAATGCAAAGCTGCAGTGTGGGGAACAAACAACCTTGTACGCGGGAAACAAACTACCCCTGCCACTCCCTAATAGCAAGTGCTAGCCATTCTCACCTGGCCCCCACGCTGATATAGTAGGGCGCAAAGTTGTCAATGGCAGGGGAAGAAGGGTTCAGGTATCGGTAAAAGGGCCTCCCCTCATCACCCACTGCTAAGGCCACAGTCACTCCGGCCTGGTAGAGGGAGGGGGAAGGGAGAGAGTATATATTTTCAGGTGCTCCAGAATCTTGCTACAGTCACTCCGGCTTGAGGGAGGGTGAGAGGGAAACACAGGCAAGAGGAGGTGGCGAAAGGGTGAAGGGCAGGCCTCGGTGCAAGGAGTTTAGAGGCCTCGGTGCAAGGAGTTTAGAGGCCTCGGTGCAAGGAGTTTAGAGGCCTCGGTGCAAGGAGTTTAGAGGCCTCCGTGCAAGGAGTTTAGAGGCCTCGGTGCAAGGAGTTTAGAGGCCTCGGTGCAAGGAGTTTAGAGGCGCTGAAAAGAGTTAAAAGGGTTTGAGCCACAGCAACTCAGATGTGGATGGAGGGAGGGAGGGAGGGAGGGAGGGAGGGAGGGAGGGAGGGAGGGAGGGAGGGAGGGATTAGAGGAGGGAGGGATTAGAGGAGGGAGTAGGGATTAGAGAGAGTAGAAGCACAAGGAAAACGAGGGAAGAAAGAGAGGGATTGCTGACAAAGCCCTTCTGTGGAGCCCCAACGAGACAACTGGCTGACATGGGATGGGGGGTTCCGATCACATTCTGTACCAGTGTATACTTGAGTGATGCACCCACCACATTGGCAGGGATACGCATGAGTGTAATAAAAGAAACACTTGGATCAACCAGCAAAGCCACTCCCTACACGCATGCACTTCATAACCACAGGACGCCCCTCACACCCACCGCAAGAGCGCCGAGGAAAGGCACGTCGTCAAAGTAGGTCCACTTCCCCACGTCAAACTCATCCCAGGCCGTGTTTCTGTGCGTGTTGTCCAGGGACAGCGTGAGCACATCCACACCGTCCGCCACTGCCTGATCAACGGCTGCAAAGACATCTGCGTTGGTAGTAATAGACTCGCCAGGGCCGCCTAGATACCAGTAGACCTTGTAGATGGCCAGGCGTGCCCGGGGAGCCACGCCACTGATGGTGCCCTCGCCAGGCACCTCCACGCCACTGTTGCCCGCTGCCGCTCTGAGAGTGGAGATGCATGGGACAGGGAGGGAGCGGGTATGAGGGGGCGCGTGGGACAGGGGAGGGGCGGCTATGAAGGGAATGACCTTGCGACGCCAAGCACATGCTCTTCTTCCTTTCCCTGTCTGCCACACCACTTTGAACACACGCATTGCCATCCCATCCCATGCCATGCCATGCCATCCCATGCCATGCCATGCCATGCCATGCCACCCCATCCCATCCCATCCCATCCCATGCCATGCCGTCCCATCCCATGCCAAGGCATAGTGTGTTATGGCACTCAACACACGGTCCTAACTTCCTGCACTCACCCGGCACACCACGTGCCATGGCCATCAGAATCGCGCGGGGAGGCCCACTCGTCGTCGCCGGGACCCTGTCCTCCATATTCGCTCTCAAACCCCGCGTGGAAGATGCCCCCACCGATAATCTTGTTGTTGCATGTGAAGTCGCTTGTAGTGGGACACGTGCCCGCCCACCCGGCAGGGAGCGTGCTGCTGTAGCCCTGGCGGGGGGGAGGATGTGGGGTGCACGGGGGTAGCTAGGTTGGAAAAAGTGCTGGTGATATGGTCTGCTGTATCGGCACCGGTAGGCAAAAAAGAAAGGACGAGGGAGTCGAAGAGGGGGGCGCAGACGGAGAGAGACGAGCAGCAGCAGCAGCAGCAGCAGCAGCAGCAGAAACCCATAGCTATGCGCGGCTGTGATCGTACAGTGTCGTCAAAGGAGGGATGCTCCGGCCACACGCCGCTGTCCAGGATTCCAATCACCGTGCCTTCGCCGTCACTCGGCGATTCAGCCGGAGTGGCAGCAGCAGCAGCGGGAGCAGCAGCAGCAGTGCGGGCGTGGGGCAGGTTGAGAGACTTGTGCTAGTCGGCGGCAGTGACGGCGCGGCGGCGTGTGATGGTGCGAGAGGGCGTGACGGACGCCACAGAGGGGTGCCGCCTCATGCGCTGCACCTGCGCTGCCGTGAGGGCCGCTGTGAAGCTGTTGTCTGTGTGCACGTAGCTGAGGGGGAAGGGAAAGCGTACAGGGGGGGGGGGGGGAGCGTACATGGGGAGGGAAAGCGTACAGGGCAGGGGGGGGCAAGGCAAGTGAAGAAAGAGGGGCGGGCGTGGAGGGGAAGTTGAGAGAGGGCGGGCAAGGGAGGGCGCGAGGGTTGCTGAGAAGCCACTGGACGCGTGCTTGAAGGTGAGGAGGAAGGGAAGGCGCCCAGGGGAAGGTGAGGGAAGGGCGCGCAGGGGAGGGCAGGCAGGGGAAAGAAAGGGCGTGAGGGTTGCTGAGAAGCCGTTGGACGCGTGTCTGAAGCTGAGGATGGAGTGAAGGGGGGGATGGAGGGAGGTCGGGTAGAGGGAGACGAAGGAGGGCGCGCAAGGGCAGATGGGGGCGCGCAATGGAAGTCAATGGAGGTCCCCAAAATCCTTCTCATCCGCTCACCTGCACACCATCTTCCCCTCACCTATAGAGCATCTTCCCCACGTCCACCCCGCTGTCTCTCAGCACGGCCTGCTGCATGCGCTGCAGCAGCTGCTTGAACGCCCTCACGCCCGGCGCCCTCACGTTCAACCGCGGCCGGCGAGCCCGACGGCTGGTGCCTCCTGAACCGCTGGTGGTAGCAGCAGTGGCAGCAGCAGCAGCAGCAGCAGCAGCAGTAGCAGCAGGAGTGAGAGACGCAGTGGCAACGCCAGCGTTGCTCGCAACAGAAGCCGCGCCAACGCCATTGCGGGCCTCATCGTCTGAAGCGCCGGCTGGCGTGGTGCCATTAGGGTCGCTGTCCCAGACGGCCGTTGCCGGGTAGCCGGCAAATCCGCCGCGGTACGAGGCGACAGGCGGCGCGGAGCGCAGGCGGACGATGTAGAGCGCGGAGGCACGGGGGGAGGAAGCTGCGGGAGATTGGGGGAGCAAGACGAGGGGGGGCTGAGCGAAAGAGCTTGGGAGGCGGAGGATGTGTTACAAGGAGACGCTACGAGCCTACTATTTCTGAGGCGCCTCAAAAAAAGGATGCTACGAGCCGTGGTGTGTGGCCGTTTGCTCACCGGCGTTGGTGGAGCGGGAGAGCGATACGGGTAGAGTGAGGAGGAGGAATGGTAGGAGAAGATAATCGATAAGGCCGCTCCGCATGAAGCAATGAATGTTGTTTCTCAGAATGCGAGTGTTGCTTGTGAGAAGCCATAGAGAGATGTAGTCGCAGCAGGGGAACGGCGGTAGATTTGAAAAGAAAGAATGACAAAAATTTGGAGATTTATCCTCGAGACTCAGGCTGCTGACACTACGACTGCAGAAGCGGGTGGTACCTCGTGAAATCAATACAGTATGCAGGCATCACAGGCGATGAAGCTACAATCTTCCCTTCTCCCCTTGCCTCGCTTTCCTCGCGTTTGCTCATCGTCATTGCTCACTGCTCTCCGCCTTGCTGGCACGACTATGGCCGTAGAGGTTCCTGCTCGGTCGCGTGGATCACATGCAATACAACATCATCAGTCGTACGATGACTCGCAATGACCCTCAACGACACGCAATGACCCTCGCCTCAACGATGCTGCTGGTGTCAGTAACGGGCGCGCAGTTTTAAAAACTTTTATAATATATTTAGGGCTGGTGCACATCGAACGTCAGTAGTCCAATGGTTAGGATATTTGCCTTCCAAGCAAAAGATCCGGGTTCGATTCCCGGCTGACGTATGATCTGCATGGTTATGGTTTTGGACCCTTTTTTTTCGTAAGCATTTTTTGTTGTCATGTCACGGTCTATCGCGACTGTCTTCTCCACGGCCGCCATTCCAGCCTCTCCTCGTCTCACCGCGCAGCGCCCCTCATCACGCCTTCCAAATGCCTTCCTCGAAAACGCCGTCTCCTGTATTCCTCCTGATCGCTACACCCTAGCCACCCTCCTGAAACCCCCATTCTCTTCCTTTCCATAAACGTTTCCGAATTAGCTGAACGAAAAGGAATTGTCTTACCATCCCCGCCAGCCGTAGGTTATCCGGCCGGCACCGAGGAGGTTTTGCGAGTCGATTAATTCAGCGGCGGCTGATCTCGGCTCCGCGCGGCGCGGCATGACCCAGAAATTGCCCGCGCCAGCCGTGGAAAGAGGGGGGAGCGGGGGGAACGGCGGGGGGAGCGGGGGAAGGGGCGGGGAAAGCGCAGAGGATGTTGCAATCGTCCTTATCACAGCAGCTGAAAATGCGGCTGTCAGGATCGACGATTTTGACGTGGCAAGTCAGGCGATTCGGGAGCCTCCTACTGCCGGATCGGCTTCGCCTCCCGCGTCCATGTCCATCCGCGCCGTCAACCGACGCGGCTCGCAGGGTAGTCCTCAGAACGTGACACGTGGCGGTCAAAGCGGTCTAACAGAGCAGCAGAGGAGAAAGCGGAGCAGTCGAACTAAAAATTCCCAAAATGGAGTTCCCAAGGTGCAGCTGGCGAGCCAATCAGAGCGAAGAGGGCTCATGACAGGGACAATATCGACGGGGAAGCGTCCAGTGTTGCCACGTGGCGCAATGCAGTTGGTTGTGGATCCGTACAATCTGTGGGGCAGCCGAGTAGATGCGCGGAAGGTTCCTCTGAAGCCGTTTGTTGTGCGGTATGGCGACACTCTGGCCGCCCTCGCCGTGAGATTCAGGTGAGGCAGGGGAGGTGGAAGCGGTGCAGATGGGTCCGCGTGGGTCCAACTGGGTGCAAGCTGTTTGTTGTGCAGTACTGGGACACGCTGGCCGCAGTTGCTGTGAGATTCAGGTGAGGGAGGGAGGTGCAAGCGGTGCAAGTGGGTGCAATTGGGTGCAGTCGTGTTGGACGGATGGAGGTGCTGTTCGTTTTTCTGGTGCTTCTTGTAATGGGAATGCATTCCGTCAGTTGCAGTACCATACTGATCATCGGACATGTGTCATAGAGGCGTTTGTTAGAGCTTCTTGTAACGGGAAGAGTGGTGCCTGCTTCTAACGGGGATAAAACCATTTGCATTAGTAAAGGGCAATGCTTTTGTTTGTGTGTCTGACGGACAGTACCCTACCCTCCACATGCCAAGCCCAGAATGAAACAAGTATACCTGGTTTGTCTGACAATCAAACTATACTCTTTGGCCCTGCGTCCTTTTTCAATAAAACCTCCTCTTCTGTGACTGCCTGCAGTGTGACTATACGCGAGCTGCAGAGAATAAACGGGATGCAGTCCGATGCCTTATATGAAGGAGCGGTGCTGCTCGCACCTAAAGGTACATCACATCACATCACATTACTGCATGATCATCATCGCATGACTTCCTCTCCTGCCTCATGCATCCTCCTGCCCCATGCATCCTCCTGCCCCATGCATCCTCCTGCCCCATGCATCCTCCTGCCCCATGCATCCTCCTGCCCCTGTCCGTTCTTCTCCTGTTATTCAACACCCACGACTCTCTCTACACGTTGGAGCCTTTTTGTCACTCCTTTCCCCTCCCCCCACCTTCCCACCCCTCATCCGGGCGCCATCAACCCCCATCCCCCTGACCTGTGCGCGGGTCTTTGCCGCACCAACCGCCTGCTCTTCATCTCTCATCTCCCTACCACCTGCTCATTTTCCCTTCACTTAACGCTCCCCCCCCCCCCCCCCCCCCCCCCCCCCCCCCCCCCCCCCTCTTTCCCCCTGTTCAGGCACCATCACCCCCTCTCCCCCTGACGTGCGATCCCCTTTGGTCGCCCATCCCCTACCAGCTCGCTCATTCCTCCCCCTGCTCCAGCCGCCATTGCTCCCCCTCCCCTACATGTGCGCCCCGGCCTGCGCCGCACCGAACCAACCGCCTCCTCTTCGGTCGCCCGACCCGAACAACTGGTCCACCCCTTATATTCCTCCTCCCTCCTATCCCCCTCCCCCCTCCTCCTATCCCCCTCCCCCCTCCTCCTATCCCCCCCCCCCTCCTTTTCCCCCTCCAGGCGCCATCACCCCCCCTCCCCCTGACGTGCGCCCCGGCCTGCGCCGCACCAACCGTCTGCTCTTCTCGCGCCCGTGGGTCCGCCCTCCTGCCCTCGGCCAACCACAGCGCGACACGTGGCGCTACCACCCTGGCACACGGCCCCGGCTTAACCAGGCACAAGGCAGGCAGAGGGGCACAGATGGGTGGGAATGGTGGAGAGGTGGATGAGAATGGCAATGCTCGTAGTGTGCAGTGATGATGGGGATGATGATGGGTATGCATACATATGCTAGCAGCAGGAACCATAAGGGATGGAACCCTCTTGCCCTCTACGCTGCATTGAGCATGGGGTTGAGGGTTGGCGAGAACAGGGACTCTTGGTGCAAGCCTCAACACTCACGCTCTTACTTGGGTTGGGGTGGGACAATGCACCAGGGACATTTGGATTGCGTCACCAAGGTAAGAACGTCACCGAGATAAGAACGTCACCGAGGTAAGAACGTCACCAAGGTAAGAACGTCACCAAGGTAAGAACATCACCAAGGTAAGAACGTCACCAAGGTAAGAACATCACCAAGGTAAGAGCGTCACCAAGGTAAGAACATCACCAAGGTAAGAGCGTCACCAAGGTAAGAGCGTCACTCTTGCGGTTCACATGCGATGTGATGCGGTTCACATGCGATGTGATGCGGTTCACATGCGATGTGATGCGGTTCACATGCGATGTGATGCGAGGCACAGTTGTTGTGAACGCTGGACCTTTCAAACGTCATGGTTGCACTCTTCACGATTCTCAGGAATGCCTGTCTGTTCCACTAGTATGCCTGTTCCACGGTCCACTGAGAGATTTCAGTTCAGTGGCAGGCAGTTCCGCCTTGTGCGCTTGCTTGCAGTAAGCCAGCAACCCCCAGCCTGACCTGAGGCACCTCACAAGTTGGTTCAATTTTTTTGCTTTCCACCTTTCAAGTTTGGCCTTGCTGTCCCGACATTCTTCCTTTCCCTCTCCTGTCACTTGCGCTTCTCACACGGTGCCGCAAAATGGTGCAGCGCGGTGGGATGAGGCACGGAGGAAGGGGTTTCACCGGCTGCTGCAGGGTTGGCTGCCTCTGCGCTCGCCCATGGATGGCTGCTCCGCGTGGTGAGGCTCACATGAGAGGGCACAGGGCAGGGTTGTGTTGTCATTGTGCAAGGGCAGAGGGCAGGGTTGTGTTGTCATTGTGCAAGGGCACAGGACAGGGTTGTGTTGTCATTGTGCAAAGGCACAGGGCAGGGTTGTGTTGTCATTGTGCAAGGGCACAGGGCAGGGTTCATTCTTTAAGTGTTGTCTAAGTGCCGAGGTGACTTTTGAGTCGACTAAAAGAACCAACCTCCATTCTTGCTTCTATTCTGTTGACAAGTCCATTCTCATACCGTCTATCCATGTTTTCCCGCCCCCGGCCACCGCCCCCCACATGCAACTGTCTCAACACCACTCCTGCTGCCTGCTCTGCTCATTTCCTCCCACCTCCATGTCTCCCCCCTCCATGTCTCCTCCCTGCGCCCCCTTGCCCCCCCCTGCCCCTCCTTGCCCTCCCCTGCCCCCCCTGACTCAACTCGCAGTTTTGTGAGCAGCCCTTTTGGGCCCAGATGGGGATCCTTTCATCGGGTAAGTGCTCCGCATTGCCTGCTTTTGACGGGCCCCAAAAGCCCTCCATGTCCCTCCTCCCTTTCGCCCCCTCCCCCCCATTTGTCTCCACGCTCACCTTTGTGAGCAGCCCTTTGGGCCCAGATGGGGGTCCTTTCATCGGGTAAGTGCTGCGTATGTTTTATGAGAATTCTCACTTCCTCCCTTTCTAAATTCAACCAGTGTCGTGTTCATACTAAATTCAACCCGTGCCCTGAGTCGCCTGTTCCATTTCCCATGCCAACGCGTCCGTTGGACCGTCGTGGGCTTGTCTGCACTGCGGCCCCTTGGGACTCAAAAAAGTTGTCAGGTCTGCTTCGCTTGCGTGTGATGCTCCAGGGCGCATTTATTACTTTGTTGGAAGTCTGAAGAGTGACACAAGCACTGAGAAAATCCTTCATCCAGGCAGCGCTAGATGCTTCTCTGCCTTGATGGGGCATCCATCTCTGCCGCTGCCTGGAGCCCCAGCCCCGGATACCTTGCGCCATGCCTTGCGCGCCATGCCTATCCGGGGATACCTTGCGCCATGCCTCGCCAAAACGGACTCCTGGTTGTGAGCACTCTCAGAAACGGACTGACCTCATGCGTGTGCCCTGTGCCTGTATCCCGAGGAGGCTACCCTTACTTGTTCTGCATCCTCACACGGGCTGCCTTCTCAGGATCCAGGCACAGGACCCTCCTCAGGACCCTCCCTTGTTCTTCCCACTTTTCCTCCCACCCGTTTGTTCTCTTGACCGTCTCACCCTCTGCTCAATCAACAACGCCCAACTGGGCCTTCTTGACCGTCTTACCTGGCAACAATTTCGACGACCCATGTCTCCCATTCCCTCCCCTTGCTCTCTTCTCTTCCACGCCTCTCGTTCTCACCAGGGCGTTGACGTGGCAGCCGAGGAGGGAGAGCCAATCAGAGCGGCTAGGAGCGGGGTGGTGACTCACGTGGGAGAGATGGATGTGTGAGTGGCGCATGGGGGGGAGATGGGCATGCATGGGTGTGCGGGTGTATGGGTGGGGGGGCTCGTAATGTTGGGAAACGTATGTGATCTGTGCTGCCCAGTGGCAGCGCCAAGGGCAGTGGCACTAGCAGAGGCAGTGGCAGCGGCAGCGGCAGTGGCGGCAGCAGTGGCAGCGGCAGCGGCAGCGACAGTAGTCACGTGTTTGAAGTGTAGTTTTGAGACGTCTCAAAACTGCATGTTACCATCGAAGCTCCTCCCTCTCTCCCTTCCTTCCTTCTCTCTCGAATGGTCCTTCATTGGCTGTAACATGCAATACAACATGTAATTTCATAAGATCAGGCACAGGCATGCATTGTAGCTACCTAAGGCAGCTCGAAGTCCGGCTCGAGGACGTGCAGAAGGTCACCCGTGTCGAGGGGCTCGTCCTGGTAGGCAGAACAGGGTGTCTCGGCCTGAAAGGCCGCCAGGGTCTTGGCACAGAGGGCGTTTGCTTGACCCCTCTGCAGCGCGATCGACCAACTTTGTCGGTATGAGTGGAAGAGCTTCAGCGCCTCCCTTGAGGTGGGCTCAGCGTTGTGCAGCCGCTTCGCCGCCAAGTTGGCGCATAGGCGCATAAATTCCATGACCCCGGGCGAGCAGCACCCGTAGGTATCTACTGCCATTGCAATAAACCCCACCCAGGCCCGCCGGTTACGGTATTTGCACTCTTTTTCCCTTGCCGTCACCTGGACATCCCACCCCACGCCCCGTTGAGCTGTCTCGTCCTGCGTGGAGATCGGGTCAGTGACCGTTACATCAATGAGCCACACGGTTGAGGTATCCGGGTGGCGGATAACGAGGTCTGTCTTGAGGCCCTCCACTGGTGTATAGAGCGTTATTTCCTTTTGAACCGCGAAGCCCGCCTCTGTCGCAATCCGCTCACATTCGTCCCTGAGGGTGTAGTGAGTCCCTGTTCGGCCCTTCCCCGTTCCGCACCGCAGTAGGTGACTGGGCAGGCGCGGGTCCGGTATCTCTACTTGCTTGTTGCATCACAGCAGTCCGGGACGAGCTGCGGAAGGCCGAGGCGGAAGGCAGCCATCTCTCCGTTACCATTTTGCCTCCCCTGCTCCTCCTCCTCCTCCTCCTCCTCCTCCTCCTCCTCCTCCTCCTCCTCCTCCTCCTCCTCCTCCTCCTCCTCCTCCTCCTCCTCCTCCTCCTCCTCCTCCTCCTCCTCCTCCTCTTCCTCCTCTTCTCCTCTCTTGTCTTACCCATATTGACTTACCGCTGAAGCTCTTGTCATGAGACGTCTCAAAACATTCAGCCTGAAGGCAATTGTGTTAGAGTTGCGCTTGAGAGAAAGGCAATCGTGTTAGAGTTGCGCTTGAGAGAAAGGCAATCGTGTTAGAGTTGCGCTTGAGAGAAAGGCAATCGTGTTAGAGTTGCGCTTGAGATAAAGGCAATCGTGTTAGAGTTGCGCTTGAGAATTCTCGAAGGCCGTCGTGTTAGAGTTACGCTTGAGAATTCTCAAAGGCAACATCAACATAGCTCCTTTCTCTCTTCGCTCTTGTCTCACCCCTCTTGTCTTGCTGTTATGGCTCTTGTCACTCACGTTCGCCTCAAGGCAAACTCTCCAAAAGCTTATCTCCTGTGCGAATTCTCCCTCCCTCCGCCCACCTGACATCAGGTACGGCAATCTGGTCACACTGGCGCACGAGGCAGGCTTCACCACCCACTATGCTCACTGCTCCAAGATGCTTGTTCAGGCCGGGCAGGTGGGTCGCTGTAAGCCGGGCAGGTGGGTCGGTGTCTTCACATGATCGGGTGATCTGTTGTATGGAGAGTCCCAGTGTCAGATGCTCGTGATTATCAGGACCCACCGGTTCTTCATGATGTTCACCCCGCGTGGACGTTCGACCCTAAACCCTAAACCCTAAACCCTAAACCCGAAACCCTCCCAAGTGCCCATGCCGATGAGACTGCGGATCTCCTCGTCCATGGCGAGGCGTGCTTGCCACTTGCAAGTGCGTGTGTGCATGCGTTCCCAGTCAGGTGTATACACATGCAGCCCGTGAGGCTGGGCTGGCTGGGGGATCCTACCCAAGACACTCACCGCAGCTCTAATTCCGCCTCGCCCTTGACTTAACCAGAGTTTTTCAGAGGATGGGAGAGGCAGGTGGCTGCACTGGTGGGCATCACTCGCAGTTCCACACCCATCTTATGCCCGTTCACTCAAACTCTATTTGTAGAGAGGGTGTTTTTGAGACGTCTCAAAAGCACCCTCTCTACATGCAGCACTCGCAGTTCCACACTGATCTTTTGCCCGTTCACTCAAACTCTATTCCTGCCTCCCCACTCGCCTGCCTTCACTTCACGCCCCTCTCCTCCTCCCTGCACTCTTCATTTTCACCAGAGGGTGCGAGCAGGGCAGGTGGTGGCGCTGGTGGGCAGCACTGGCCAGTCCAGCTCCTCTCACCACATCCCGTTCCCCTCTCCCCCCCCTTCCCCACTTCTACCCACCATTGTCGCTCGTCATTTTTAATCGCCGCTTGACTTCCCCAGAGGGTGCGGGCAGGGCAGGTGGTGGCGCTGGTGGGCAACACAGGCCGGTCCATGGGGCCACATCTGCACTTTGAAGGTGGGCATTCAGGGTTCCCATTTCATGGTTGGTTGGTTCAATGCTTTTTGTGCATGCAAGACACTCCACTTCACCGTGGTCGCAGTGCGCAGGGAGTCTTGTTTTAAGAGAAATAATACGATAAGATAGACGTGGATGTTGTGTGTGCGGTTTTTTGTGGATGCACCTTGACTCTTTGTGCTTGCAGTGCGAAGGCATGGAGAGCCCTTTGATCCGTTCGATTGGTGCAATATATGAGCGGCTCATATTTCACACTCAATACAGCCTTCGGCCTTTTGATGAGTTGAATGGGCGCACGAAATGATCTGCTGCACTCGAAATTTCCTGGGCGTTCCGGGATTGAACCCGCACAATGGACCCTCGAAAGCATACGGAGCGAGATTAGTAATTTTCAGAAATGTGATTAGGATATGATGATACCAAGCAAAAGCAATTTTATCAAAACGAAAGTATGGTTAGGTGAGAACCTTGGCAATTGAGGCTTTAGTTTAGAGTGTTAGGGTATAAGTGATGTTATATCATGCATTGGTCCACATCTGTTAGGCCCGCTGGCCTAAGTCCGCTAAAGAATTAGCGGGGTCGACTAAGTCGAGGATGAAGCGCGGCGGAAGACTTTGGCGAAAGAACTACTAGCGAAATAGGCGAAGGAGTTACTGATTAATTGGAGAAGGGTTGAATGAGAATTGGTTGATATGAGGGAATACAAGCAAGGTTTATATAGAATGCAAGAATGAAGATTGGAAAGTAGAATGTGGGACTAGGAATTGGAAGGCAAACAAAGTAGAGTGCCACGGGGCTCTAGGAAATGTAAGAAGATAGGGATAAGGGTGAGCTGGAAAGTACTGTTCAAAGTGAACAGTAAATCCTCCCTTAACACTACCCCCTTCCCAAGGAGGCGACGTCTGTGGCGCCTGCAGACTGAAGGTACGCTCGGAGACAAGCGTTGTCGGGAGACAGCGAGGACGAAGGAACCCAGCTGTCGTCGGCTGCATCGTAACCACGCCAACGAACCAAGAAGTCGATGAAAGAGACACCCCCCTGGAGACGGCGACGGTGCCTGAGGATGCGCTGGATCTGGTAGTCGGGCTCGTCGGTGTCAACAGCTACCGGCAGTGGAGTGCGATCACGGCCCGAGAAGGTGGCGTTGGGATCGGTGTAAGGCCGAAGGAGAGACACGTGGAATGATGGGTGCATGCGGAAATGAGCGGGAAGGCGGAGGCGGTATGCGACTGGACCAAGTGCGCGCTCAATGACAAATGGACCAATGAAACGTGGGCGAAGCTTGCTGTCCTTTGGAAGTCGGAGGTTGCGGCTGTCGAGAAGGACACGGTCACCAACTGAAAACGACACCTCACGACGACTGCGGTTGGTGGTGCGTGCCATGCGTGCATTTGCGAGCTCAAGGTGCTTCCTCACGTGATCGTGAATGAAGGTGAGATGCTGGTGGAAGTTGTCCGCACTAGGGACAGTGGGTGTGAGATTGACACGACTGGGAACATTGGGGTGCTGACCGTACAGTGCAAAGAACGGTGACATGCCTGTGGCGGAATGATGCGTGTTGTTGTAGGCGAACTCAGCCATGCTCAGCTTCTTGTCCCATGCTGCTGCGTCGTGCATCGTGATGCTACGAAGAATCTGCTATAATATCTGGTTCACACGCTCGGTCTGTCCGTCTGTCTCTGGATGGTACGCAGACGACATGGCTAAGCGAGTCCCAAACAGTGCAAAAAGCTGCTTCCAGAACTTCGTGTTGGACTCTAGAAACAGGAAGGAATGCATTGAATGAGAGTTGGGTACAAGTATCTAACCCTAAAGGGGTTGTACCCCATATTGGCTACCCCAATACAGCCTACACAAATATAGCATGCATATAGTTTGACACACCCCCATAGGCAAAGTGGGGGAGAACAAGGGGTCACAAGACCAGTCTAGAAAAAGAAAAGCAAGCTCAGGGTGGATCACAACATCACCACACACACTGAGCACAAGCAAAGGGCCACAAGGCCAGTTCACATGCAGAGACATATATGCAACAACAACAGTACAGTGATCACTACCTAGCAAGAGCAAACATGCAGGCATATATATATATATATCACAGTACAAGCAGAGTCTACAGCAAGTGTGGAAACGTAGGCACAAGGCCCAACAAAGTACAAAAGCGCTGATGGTCACCAGACGGAAGTGCCTTGGTGAATATATCAGCAGTGTTGGCCTGAGTGGCCACGTGAGCAAGACGAAGCTGACCACGCTGCTGCAACTCTCGAGCCAGGAAGTAACGCAGAGCGATGTGCTTCGTTCTGTGCTCCAGTCTGTGCTCCTGACACAAGGCAATGGCGGCCTTGTTGTCGACGTACAGAACTGGAGGAGAACGAGGCCTCTCTCCCAAGTCAGTCAGCAGGTAGGTAAGCCAGCGTAACTCCTGTGCAGCCATGGCTGTGGCGTAGATCTCAGCCTCACAACTAGAGCCGAGAACAGAAGAGGAGCGAGTAGAGCACCAAGAAACTGAGCCAGAGCCAAGGCTGAAGGTGTAACCCTGTGACGGCCGCTGCGTAGCCAGGTCGTCAACCCAAGAAGCGTCTGAGTGCCCAGTGAGGACAACTGGACTCCGCCCTCCAAGCACGAGCCCCATGCCCGATGTACTGCACAAGTAGCGCAGTACCCTCTTTGCAGCATCCATGTGCACCTTTCGGTGCCGACCAGGAGCCACGTAGCGAGCCAGAAGGCCAAGAGGGTACGCAAGGTCAGGACGAGTGCAGGTCATCAGGTACATGAGGCAGCCCACTAGCTCTGGGTAAGGACTACTCGGCTCTACGGACTCGTCCGAATGTGGAGCTGAGAGCGAGTGACCTGTAGCCAGAGGAGTGGACTGTGGCGAGGACCAGGTGAAGCCGAAGCGCTGAAGGACCTGCTGCACCATGTGTGACTGAGTCAGTGTGATGGTGCGGCGTGCTCGGTCCCGGGTGATCTGCAAGCCAAGGTAACTGCGCAGCTCACCTAGGTCTGTGCACGTGTGTCTCTTCTGCAGCTCCGACTTCACCAGGGCAAGAGCCTCAGTGTTAGCAGTGGCAAAGACCAAGTCGTCGACGTACACGAGGATGTAGAATGGCGGCAGCGAAGTGTCAGTGCGCAGAAACAGCGACGGGTCAGCTGTCGAAGGAGCAAACCCAAGTGCCGCAAGCGTCGTCCTCAGTGTGTCGTGCCACTCACGCGGCGCCTGGCGGAGACCGTAGACTGGCCGCCGGAGGCTCCACTAGGTACCAGGAGGGAACGTCCCAGTGAAGCCACGTGGGCGGCGCAGCCAGATCTCCTCGTGCAGGCTACCCTGTAAGAAGGCTGTGCTAAAGTCCAGAGAGTGAAGCTCGTAGTCACACTGAGCGGCAACGTGCAGCAGCACCCGAAGAGTAGTCATCTTCGGGGTGGGGGAGAAGGTCTGGAAGAAGTCAACTCCCTCTCGCTGACTAAAGCCTCGTGCAACGTAACGAGCCTTGAAGACAGGCGGAGAACCCGGCGGCCGCTTCACCCTGAAAATCCACATGCCATCGACGATGTTCGCCCCAGGAGGGGGAACCTCGTCGACGTAAGTGCCTGTGGACTTCTAGGATGCCATCTCTGCGTCCATGGCTGTCTGCCACTGAGAGGAGTAGGGACCCGCGATCGCCTCAGCGTAAGAGCGCGGGGTAGGGATGTCTGGTGCATCTGGGTCTCCCTCAGGGGCAAGCAGCATGGCCACGAGATGAGGCGCAGCGGCCGCAAGACACTCAAGGTCCTCCTGTCTGTCCTCAATGACGTCCGTGCCAAGAGCACACTCACCCCCGACGGACGGAGGACAGACAGACGCAGACTCAGCAACAAGACTAGCAGCGTAGTCTAGACGACAGGCAGCAGCAAAGTCCACAAGCTCAGCGACCAAGGCAGACGCAGCAGCAGACTCAAACGACGGGTCGGTGACAACAGTGGCTAACAGACGCGTGACAGTAGGGTGCTCAGCACGAAACCGATCAGACTCAGGGTCCGGAACGTCAGGCAGAGAGGACTCAGGAGGAGACGGCAGAGGAACACGCTGCGGAGCAGAGGACGGACGACGGACAACGAGGTGCGCGCCGGGGACAGCCGGCGAACGCGGACGAGTAACACGACGACTGGTTCGACCAGAACGAACATGCGAGACAGGACGCGACGCAGGCTCACGACGCTCAGCAAGACCCCCTGGCTGCTCGGTGTAAGGAGAAGGAGCAGGCAGCGGGGAGTCAGGCTGTAATTGAAGACCAGTAGAAGACGGGAGGCTAAGAACCTGGCGAAGCACAGAGTCAGGCGGTGGCAGAGACGACGGAGACGGCGGAGCGAAGAACAGTCTCGGCTGCGCCGTGCCACCAGCACCAGTAGCTCCAGCGCCTCCAGCAGCTCCAGAACCTCCAGCGCCAGCTCCTCCAGGACCAGCTCCACCAGCAGCAGCACCCCCAGAACCGACACCTCCAGTCCCAGGGTCTCCAGCCGCAGTGTCTCCAGCAGTAGCACCCCCAGAACCGGCACCTCCAGCCCCAGGGTCTCCAGCCTCAGTGTCTCCAGCAGCAGCACCCCCAGACACAGCACCTCCAGTCCCAGCAGCTCCAGTACTGCCAGTACGAGCACCTCCGGGACCAGCAACTCCAGCACCTCCAGTAGACAAAGTACCAGCACCACTCCCAGCTCCAGTGGCGTCAGCAGAAGCACCTCCAGCGGCAGAGCCCCGAGCTCCAGCAGCGCAAACATGACGGCGACCGTACCAGTCGTGCAGCTGCTGTGAGGTGAGAGGCACACGCGGACGAAGGCGGCCACTCCAAGGAGACCGCGCACCAGCAGTCGCAGTACCCTCAGGCGCCGCACCCCCAGACTCAGCACCCCCAGGCTCCTCACGCACAGGCTCAGCACCCCCAGACTCAGCACTCCCAGGCTCCTCACGCTCAGCCTCTGCACCCCAGGCTCCGCACCCCCAGGGACAGCGCTAGCTCCAGTGCCTC